TATTATCAGACAAGTTATGTGGCAGTGGTATTATAAGCTGATCCTCCGCTGAACTACATTTTATAAAAAAAAGGTTTTGAATCTAGACCAACCTTCTTTACAATCACTGTTTGTTTTTATTTAAGCCAAAAAACAAACCATTTACCTATTTATAACATTACGGGATTTTGTGTAGTATCTATCTATGTAGTTAATTTTTTTACGTTCCTACCGCAAAAAAGCGGGCTTGCTCCATTTGATTGATCACATTTATCATGGCGTTTGAGAAATGACAGGCATCAATAATCGACGTTTTAATCCTTTCTGAACCCACGCAAACCATTAGCGGATAAAAAGTGTAGTGTCACTTGTACTGATAAGTGAAAGATTGCCATCTGTGTTTGTAATGATTATTTATAAATATAATAATATAGTATAGGAGTTAGAGAAACTAAATTTTGTTTACATTTATACTAATGAACTAAACTGTAACTGGTTTAAGTAATTTTTGTACCCAGCTTTTTTTATGTGATAAGTCGGCAATCGATCTGACGGATTGCCTGATGGTAAGCAATCAACGCCACCCATGGACACCCGCAACAACAGAACAGTTACGAGCGCGTTGCCAACCTTGCGGGGATTGGGGATTTGGAGATTTAGGGATTGGGGGAGGGGAAGGCTTGGGCCTCCGGAATCCTCACTCACACGGCGAAACACAACTGTGTGCTGTGGTGGTTTCACGCCGGTTTTCTGTAAGGCCGTGGTATCACTCCGGTCGAGCCAACCCATTCGTGCCGAAGCATGGCTATCCCACATTTACTTAAATAAATATCTTTAAACGCCGTGGTTAACCCCCATCCTATCAATAAAATAGAAATATGATGAAGACAAATAACCAATTCGAAGTTGTTTGAACCAATGTTGAAAACGTTAGTAATTGAAAAGAAAAGATTACGCAATTATTATAAACTTTAAATAAAACTATAATTTATGTAGAAAAAAAGGTATTTCAGGGGCTTATTAATTACTCACTTAAGCTGGCCAGTTGAAAATTAGACAGACTTTATTACATTCTCCAGTCTGCATACATGAATTATTTATTTATTCTAGTGTCTTCACAAAATTGGTTTAAGATGGACTTAATACTATAAACATTCTCTATCGGTGCTTTAGAACTTCTGGGTGTAGTAGTAATTAGGTGCTAGAAACAGCCAATATCCAAACACCAAAAAGTGAGAATTATTTATTTGTTAATTAATTTTTAAAAGCATACGTGAGTGTTTATTTTTCCTGGCATTAAATCACAAATATTTATTTTTATTTTTTATTCATTATACATTACCCACTGCCTTTCGATACACTATCTTAAAACTTATATTGAGTACATCTATCAGTACATTACAGGTATCTATTCAACATATTCTGCTTTGAACGGATCTAAAAGAAATGTACAGGTGGATTACATCTATACTAATATTATAAAGAGGTTAAATTTGTAAGTTTGTATGTGGTTAGTAATCTTTGGAACCGCTGGTCGAATTTCCAAAATTATTTTACTGATAGATAGCTACAATGCTCCTGAGTGTTATAGGCTATAGAACATCACGCTACGATTAAATGGAGCTGAGCAACTGGTGAAACCGCGCGAGAGTAGGTAGTATGTAATAAAACATGGAGTTTTCAACTATTACAAAGGATCCCATATGTGCTAACTAAGAATTTGACGAGAAAATGTATTGAGTTAATTACATCGTGTTTTTAAACCACAATGACCATACCAATTGCATATTCCAAATGACTTCTTTTTTCTGAACTCACGTAACTTATTTTTTATAATCACACTTTACAATGTTAATACTAAAATGTAATCTCTTTTAATGTGCCATCTCTGATGTATAAGTAATAGGTATCTGGATGAACATACATACATACATACGTCCCACCGGTTCGTCTCACATTGGCATGTAATTATAATCTCGTCGTTTAATATATGTGATAAAGTTTATATTTTACGATTCTATCGAATGCGCGGGCGTCTTACATAGAAGTGATGATGGACCTTTTAAACGGAACATGTTAAGTTTAGTTTGAGTTAAAAGCGATAATAGATTTAAGAATATATTTTAAAATTAATTTTTGAACACAATTAAGTATTTATATTCTAAAAATACTTTTGAATATTAAATTTAAAATATCATTTTTTAATAATCTATACTAATATTAAAAAGAGGTAAAATTAGTAAAGTTTGTATGTAGGGGGTAATCTTTTGAGCAGTTGGTCGGATTGCCAAAATTCTTTAACTTATAGATAGCTACAATGTTCCTGAGTGCTATTGGCTATAAAACATCACGCTACGTTCAAATGGCGCCGAGCAGCGTAACCGTGAAACCGCTCAAGAGTAGCTATTTTACAATATTTCATTTTCGTAACCACCATATTCCCAATAGCTACTGAAGAAATTGCACTTTGAGTGATCTAATACTCCGAAAATACTTAACGCAAATAGTATACTATATTTCTAAAATAATTATGTACATAGTTTAGAGTCAAATGTCACCAATATTCACGATGTACTCAACCATATAACAGACTAATGATGACCATGTTCTTCACCGATATCCGATTCAAATCTCAATGTTCATACAAGTACTCGTATACTTACAGCATACAACAAACAGTAGACGGTATCATTGTGAGCACAGATCGACTATAACGGGTCTTGTTCTAGTCCCCAATGATTCGTATATGTTCTGTGCAAGCTTGTTGCAATTTATTAGACACAGTTCTAATCTCTTGCAATAACTGAGATTCCTATTAGTAAAGTCCAATTAACCTATAGCTTGAACTGGAGATCAAACTTAGGACCAAAGAAACGTTAGCGGACTGAAGCTTGAAGGTTCCTGACCTTTCGTACAAAATTGTCCACGTAACTTATGGATTTGTTTGGAAATTTAATTAAAATTTTTCAACATAAAATATTTTGTTGTTTTATCATTTAAGCTGTATTTGATAATAGGTTTCAACTTCATGATATACTCATTTATTTAAAAAAAATCTGATACATGTGATGTGGGTAACGTCTCATTATGTTCTTTTGTTGACGTTAAGGTTTTCGAAACAATATTAAAAGTCAGTCAAAACAAAACAAATTAAAATAAAAGAACGCGTCGTTTAACTCAATTCCGTGGGACATTATCACGTCGATCATACATTATGTCGCTGCCGCTCGTATCTTAGATCTCGTTATCTAAAAAGTGTGAAGCTCGTCCGCCCCCTCGCGGCTCCATCTCTTCACACCTAAGAATTCAATTAATCTCGACGCGCACCCGCTTCGCTGGCCACGAGATTCGTGACTAGTAATTACTTTTTGTAACAAAAAGAAAACAAATCCATTCTATACTCCCCCGGTTGTTTACGAAAATAAAAAGATTTTCTAACCGAGTAACGGACCAACTGAACAATGAGCGATGACATGGAACTCTTCTTATACAACTCCCCAATAAAAGGGATATCTTGTTACAAGGATATTGTACTCCATTTATAATAATAATAATCTACGAAACAAAGGCGATAACTAGCAAGGAGTAAATTACGAACATGATTTACGTTTACCATTCATCATTTGAGAATTAATCTCCCCGTTTCTCGGCATCGCCTAGAGATATTTCAATATACCTCAAAAGAATCCCATTTATTTGTAGGTACCTGCCGACTTCGCCTCATATTTCTCCGGGAATAACAAAGGCCCCGGGATCAAGGCATGACCTGTGGGCGCGTTCAGCAACAAGTTGTAAAAAAGCACGCGCACGAGAACGCAAGTCGCAAATGAAATCGAAATAACGTAACGTCCAGTCCCGGCAAGGTCTCGCGGAATGAGATACGGCCTTTTGATTAAGCATTGTCGGGCAGCCGACCCGTGGAGTCGCCCCACAACACTGCCTTCATACTTTATTTATGTCTTTATATTTATTGCATTCTTCCATTTGCAATAAAGAAGATAAGTTTTTCTAAGCGCGTGGGGCTATCAATGACTACTCCGTTCGCCTTCATTTACATAAATTATGTTCATCACGATTTTTTAATCTCATCTATATTCGTAGTCATTATAATATTTATTAGCTATGGAAAATTGATTAATATTTTATTTGTGTCTTAATTAGAATCCAAATGACTAGCTAATTTTTATCGTCTTCGGCATCGGCGAGATAATTCTAGAGCGATTATTCATAGTTTGATAGGTGGATTTATACCTAGCAATAAGCTTTGTTGATTTGTTTTCAAGGAACTTTCAATGTTACGTGCCCTTTATTACCTTATAATGACATTTTTAAGGTGGAGGGGTTGGCCATAAGTCACGCTCTGGCCCCGAAAAGAAGCAGACCGCCTTCTGTTAATAATTACATGCAAGTCGGCGGACGCGTAGCGTAGGGTTCTCCCCTGTGCTTACATCACGCGATGTGAGCCTTTCGCAGAACTAAAAGATGGTTTAAAACCAGTAGCTAGTAGCATCGACCTTTTTACTCAAGAAATAAACTTTTACAAAGTCTTTAAATGCTTATTGAAGTTTAGCCTTTTAGATGTTGAAGTTACTGAACTACTTATTGAACTTTCAGATGAAATTAAATGCTTCGAGCTCGATTTGTTTGTTCCATTATACATGTATCTTTCGAAATTATACTCTAGTTCGATCTTTATCGTCCGTACCTACGTACTCGACGTGAAATTTATACCATTCGATAAAGGAACCCTGTGTGGCGGAGTTTATATTTGAAAGTTGATATTAGCGTCAGCGTAAAGTCTACTCTGAGGGTTTTAGAGGCGCATAATCCAGTCGTTACAAAAAGTCGACACTGCGATAAAACGTGCAATAAGAATAGGTCGGGCATAGGTAGTATAGTAAGTTTTCATGTGTGTAAGCGGGCAGCGGGCGAGCCAGGCCGGGCAGGCCGGCGGGCGGCGACTTGTCCTCAACTCGGTAGCCGTGGCCGGTTCTCGTGGCTCGCCACTCTAGTACGGCACGGGCGGAGTCACGCAGCGGACGCGCGCCGCCACAACCCGGCGCGCGCATACACACACGAACATCAAAAACATTTGTTTCATACAAACTTTTTCACCGGTGTGTTATTAACTGTGTTTGACTGTTTTGTACGGAGGTTTGAGTGCACTTTGAGTGACTTGGGGACGTGATAGGATTTGGCGGGAGTCTGAAGGGAAAGTGGCAGGACAGAGGCGCGAGCGCGCCCTCTTTTACATAATCGTTGATAACTGGAGCTTTCGTAATTGTTGCGTGATAACAGTAAGTACAGTATAGTGTAAGAAAGTTTTGTCTTGGAAGTAGAATTAGGTTTATTTATTTTTAATGCCCATTGTATGTTCTTTTTTGTGTGGTTTTTCTTCATTTAAGTTGTATTATAAGATATTATTTGATCTTCGTCAAATCTGTAGTTAAACTATATTATCTGAGTATCTTTTTGTTTGCATGGCGCATGTCAAGTTAATGTTGATTTAAACTTATCTTAACATGATAGACGTAATCTTCTTATCTATGAATTAAGTGGTGTTTTAAACTTTAAATGCGTCTCGTCTGTCTCTTTAGTAAATAAACAAAGATTTTTGTACGTACCGACACATATTTGAATATTTTAGTTCCAATTTTGAAATTTTATTCGTCGGCTTATGTTGTATTTAGATGCATTCTTATGTGATTTGAAATAGCTTGAGTTCATATAAGGCCTTTTTGGTTTATGTAGAATGGAATGGAATTTTACGCATAAGAGGTATTTTCGACGTTTTGGTAAATGGGTTAGGGTTTGTTTTCCATTGTACAAGATTTGTCGATACATTTCGTACCAGATTAATTCCATAAATTAGCGGTTTTATGATTTATTGCGGCTTTGTAAAGGTACCGCGGAATATTGAGTGACATTGATTTTATTTTTGAGTGGCTTTAGTTATTTTCGTTTAGATCCGGTTACAGCTTTTCCAAGTACATAATCATGGAAAGCACTTGTTAAGGCGTTCTTGGTACGATTCTTGAATTTTGTGAGCTAATGGTTTTTCTTGAATTATTTTTGACACTCTCATTGTAATTGCGGAATATGAAGTCTTAAGCCATTTTGTATTACATTGATGGTAATATTTTATCGTGAAATGAAATGACAAATTTAGTAAAATACGACATATAAAAAATTAAATTAATTGATTCATTTACGAATTAAATACAATGGGAGATAAAATTGTGTAATAATGGTCAAAAACATAACTTCAGTGCTTTTCATTAAAGATGATCATCAGATCATGATCATGATAGGAATCGAACCCGTAACCTTTTGCTCGCAGCCACTCTTAAAACCACCCGACCAACGAACCCATCATTAATACTAACTAAGCTATATATCTACACTAAACTACATATAAAACAAGATTAACTACAGCCAATAAGCCGTCGGGGATGCTCGACGCAAGACCAATCACGTTTGATGGCAAGATCGTGGCCCAGTGTCGCAATTGAAAACGGCCATTATCGGCCACTTATCACAGCTGACGTGCCGACTTATCCAGTACAGCCTATAATGTTTACCTGTATTTGCATTCTCGGGAAAGGTCGGATAACCACTAAAAATGTGATCTTAAGCCCAATTTTTGGGGACGAACATTTTTCCAGGACAGGACAGACAGGAGGGTTGAAGTTTCGGTGAAGGCAAAAAGCTTTGATGTTAACTGAAAAATATATGTTTATTTTTTGTTTATAATGTGTTGACATACAATTACAACAAAGCGAAATATGCTATATTATATGTAATTACGTATACTATGTAAATATGTGCGTAAGTACTAAGTAATGTAAGTACCTACGTATGTATTTACTTAATGCGCACGCGCATGTTAATATTTATACACAACAATTGAAAGAAAAGTTCAGTTTTATTTATAAGAATCGTAATTCTAAAGCTCCTGTAACGTTAATTGTAGCAATTATTATTGTTAAGTCAGGACCTGCATAAGGAAAAGTGATCCAACACCAGACGATAGTCATGCACGTGCGCATCCCAGTGAGCCAAGCATGAGATCGTGCTAAACCCCGCTATCAAACTGTTTATCATTGTCCATTCCACTAGTGATGTGCTAGTTACTTCGAAGTAAATGCAATAATAACATTGATAATAAAATTCATACCTATCATAATTAATGAGATAGGAATGAGGTAATTTTCTTTTTGGATCATTTTTGGACACTTTCAATCTTTATCTGAATCAGCTGTTTCGGGTTTCTATAGTGACGGAACGGACATAAATATGAGAATGATATGATGTGCTTTAACTGTCAAAGTACAATGAAATCAGTAGGTACAACTGAGCTAAAACAACAATAAAACATTATTTTTTTCAGTTCTAACAATGAATGGATTCAAACGAGTAAGACAAGGCAGTGTGTTATGCCCCCGGCCATCTCGCAATGTAGATTGGAATGGAATTTTATACACTAGAGGTATTTTCGACGTTTTGGTAAATAGGTTAGAGTTTGTTTTCCATTGAGCGACATTTGTTGATACATTTCATACCAGATTACGCGTTGTTACAATCGTTGATTATACCTGAACTATCTGTATTCTTTATCTTTGTATGTTCAAAAAATCATTTTAAGTTCATGTTACATAAACCATCCATCATCAGTCTATAAGTGCCCACTGCTGAGCAAAGACCTCTTCTCATACGGAGAAGGTTAGAGCATTAATCACCACGCTTGCTCAATGCGGGTTGGCGATTTCAAACTTATAATTAGAAATTATAAGTCCAGGTTTCCTCACGATGTTTACCTTCACCGTATGTCAGTGGTGCCTAAATAATCATAGAAAGTACATATAACTCGGAAAAAGTTACATTGGTACTTGCCAGGTTTCGAACCCACACCCTCATGCATGAGAAGCGGGCTCCTTAACCTCCGGGCCACCACGACGTTACATAAACATCGACACACAATCGACAAAAAATCTGAAATATGAATTAAAAAAAAATTCAAAAAATTAAATTGGACATCGGTATATCTAAACGTAACTAGCCATTTTATATGTATCTTTATTCCAAATTTCATTAAAATGCTTTCGGTAAATTTTAAATCTTGCAGTAACAGACATCTATCTATCCAAAGAAAAAATATTTCATTGTTTATGAAATAGTTTTATTTATACATAGTTAATTGGGTAAAATTTAATTGTTTTACTGTGATCTACCAGCACATAAAAAAATTAATACTACAAAATCTAAATCATACAGCACAAAGAACTCTAAAACAAAATAAAAAAGAACATGATGTAACTCCTAACCAACAAAACTAATCTTATAATAATAACATTGTTAGCTACTAACAGTCGAATAAACAGACAGACGAACAGATATTCCTTTAGTGTTGCAAAAGCGTTCATAATACACCAACATCGTGATTTGTGTTTGACCCGAATATACACTCTCAGTCATCGTCGGTTTCTCAGTGACAGCTGAGTACTGGTTTAATACCAAATCAATCGTCACGTAACATAATCCGATCGTTACTTAAAAGGTTGTACTTACAATGTTAGGTTGGTTTATGGTTACATTAAATACGAAGGATGTAGCAATTAAATCTATCAACATCATTTTGACGAAGTAAAATTGTCCTATGGGTTTTTCTAGTTGTAATGCCGTGTTTGGCTTTTAAATACCTTGTAATGTGAAAGATTCGATTATAAGTGTAAGGATTAAAATCGACGTTACACGCTGACGACATTTTAAATTTAAAGATGTTTAAAACGAACCGGAGCAAGTAGTCAGTAAAATAAAAACAAATCGATTGTTAACGACTAAAACATCGACTAATGCATCCCATCCCTAGCTATCGCCACAATGGCGTTCTCTCGTTAGGGCGCGACACTGACTCCAGCCGCCTAATGGCACGTCGTGCTGCCAATTCTTAGCTTAAGGCTCTTTCACGACCAGCAGGCGTTAGCACGCATTAGTTTAAATGTGTTTTCTTTTATGGCAACACTAAAGATGAGAGTGTTGCCAGCCTAAGGATTGTTGCACGTTTTATTACTTTAACTAAGTAGTTTTATTTGAAGCTAAATGCTTGAATTTAAGTTAACAAACGAATACTGACTTGGCTTTCAGTATCCTACCAAAAATATCATGCAAAAAATACTTGTTGAATAATCCCAATTGTGTTTATGTAAATAACGAAAAACTGAAAAATAAAACTGAAAAAAAAAAATATTTAAATCACAACAAAAATGATCGAAATTGTCCGACAATTTTGTTATAAAACTTCCAGTCTAATTGTCTCGGGTTAACTTGCCTCAAGAATTCAAAAACAATCTAAACCTATAAATAAATGTGTAATACGGCCGCAACTTTGTAAGTAAACACAAAGCTATGAAAATTTTTACTACCAATAAATCTTAGCTCTTCGATTTATATTTGGTCATAAAACGTAATCAAGAGAATTGAGCGCGAAGTTTTCAACAAAAATTGCATTGCTAATCAGCGAACATGCGCTAGCGCAGCGCGTTGAAGTCTTTTGTATGGATAAGGAAATTGCGCTCGCGCAGTTTTATTGTACGGCGGTATTATAGACTTTTTATTTCTAATAAAATCTTCACTATTAATGTGAGAATCTCATTGTTTAAGATGCATAAAAACACAAAAGTAGCTAAGTGATATTCTTGCAATATTTTTTATTGATATTTATTACAGATTTTCTGTAATGTGCACACTCCCACAAGATATTTATAAAGTTACATGTAAGGCTTCTTATAAAATCATGTTCAAATGGAATACATTGACCAAATATCAATCCGTGTAGGTGCAAAATGTCATACTTTTCCTTAGGTGTGCCTATATGAATTTGTGCCACAAATATTGAAATTATTGGTTACATGTATGTTTCACTCTCCATCTAAATAAAGCACATATTTTGGTATTTTCTAAATTCAGAGCTTGTGTTGTGTCAATTTATTATTCGAAAATCCTCGTGCCTGCATACCACGGCCTACGCGGATTATTTAAACAAAGCAGATATCGTCCCATTACGAACGAGTTATGGGCCTTTTAAATGGTCAATTATATTGAGTATTGGTTAAGTGACTTTTCTCTTTGTGTTTAATCACTTCAGTTAAATCATGGTATCCTATTGTTATTGAATGTAATTAATGCTTTGTGCATATTTTGTAGTTTCTACTTCCTTTTTCAACAAAAAAATATTATGTTTTTGTAAATTTTCTGGATATATCAAATTAAAGAAATGTTTTTAAAAAGGATTCGTGTT